CCTGTGATGTGTGGTGCGCGTTCAAAGTGCGCGCCTTCGAAAAGTGCGCGTCACGGAAAAAAAAAAAAAACAAAAGGAGAAATACCAGAGTGCACGTGCGGTGCTGCTTAAACAAGAATGACGACGTTAAAGAGCGTCAAGCACGAGGATGCGTGGCAGGACGTGAAGTAAACAAAAGGTAAAACATCCAATGGGCAGCGAACACGGAGATTTCAAGGCCCAATGGCTTGACACCACGAAACAGGAGTATCTCCAATGAGAACGAGACAAGTGGGCCAGAGCTGAAGCAGGAGCCTGAGCAGACCAGAGCAAGGGGAATTCGAGGCAGGCAGTGCAAGCGGAAGGTCGTCACCGGACCGGGCGCTGAAGATGGGCCGTTGGGTTCCGGACCCGAGCCTACAGGACTTCCACCGGCCGGGGCCTCCTGCTGTCGGGTTCCCGCTCCAAAGGACCGTGGCCATCCGGTCCTGAACTCCTTTCCAGGGCCTGCGGACTTTGGTTCCGGCAGGCGAGCTACAGCCGTCGGGCTCCGGGCCCGAGCTGTGCGCCCAGCTGCTTGACTAGGTCGACCCTAGTTCCCGGACGCGTCGCCACCAGCCTGTGTTCTCCCGTCTCCGACGTGTCCACGCTCCTCAAGCCGAAACCATCACGATTTGGTAGGGCTTTTCGACGTGTCGCCAGCAGCCAGCGTTCCCTCGTCCTCGTCCAGCCCACGCATTGACGCAGGAGTCACGGCGTTCCGGTTTCTCATCACCGCCGAAAACCAACTTGTGGGTGAGACTGCACCGATACTCTTGCGCTACTCCCATCACTCAGCCCCTTTCGAACGTTAGGTTTAGTTACTGACTTTGAACGTTTTTGTTGGGTGTTTACAGATGTGTTTCGTCATGTCCAGTCAACTGTTTATTAAGTGTTTTGTTTTGTGAGGAATCTTTGCCTTTTTTTCTTTTCAATTAAACTTTTTGTGTGTTTCTTGGAAACCGAACGGCTTTGTCCTTATTAACAAAACTCTCTGAGGCTCAGCCCGGGAGAAAAACAAATCAGCAACAAGAACCTGCATCACAAATTGGCGTCCGCTGCGACAGGACAAAGTCGTTTGTTTTTCCAGTAGATTTTTTGACGCGGTTAACACGATGACGAACACGTGGGAGTTAATTGAGTTGGCGGATAAAATGGGACTGACGGGAGCGGAGTTTAGAGTATGGTACGAGGAGCGGATGGAGAGGGAGCGTGAGCAACGGGCTGCAGAACGAAAGGCGGCGAAGGAAAAGCTTGAATTGGTGCTTAGAGCTAAGAAGGAGGAGCTAGAGCGCGTAACGCGTGAAAATAAAGTGTTGCTAGAGCGTCAGACACGCATACTGAAGCAGCAGCTCCAATTAGAGAGGGTGGACTTCGAGCGGCGACTCGAGCTTGCGATGGCGAAAAGGGGGCAGCTGGCGATGCAGAAGGTCGAGCAAGCGGTGAATGTTTGCTCCGATAGCAGCGTTTGCTGGAGGGAAGTCGATTCCTGCAAGGTTGGCCTCGAGCCTCGCGACAGCCTTACTTCGGAGCGAGAAGCTCAGATAGAGGAAGGCAGAGAGGTGGACAGCCAAGAAGGCAGGAGTCATGAGGAGTTTGTTGAAGCGACGGAAAGCTTCTCTGGCTGGGAACATATTACTTCCGTTAGCTGCTTGGGGACCTCTGAGAGGCCAAGCACCTATGAAGAAGAGCGCCTGGATATGGGCGACCTAGAAGCTGTGGAAAATGTGGTGGAGCAAAGCTTCGATAGCAGGGAACAAAGAAGTTCCATTCAGAATGAGGTGTGTATCAGAACGTCTCAAAGGCCGAGCACATTTCGGGAAGGGGTAGGGCTACCTTTCAATAGCTCCATGGAAGGAGCGCTAGAACGTCATTGGGAAGATGGCAGCGAATGCCATGAAGGCTCTGATATAGTGGCCACTGATTGTTTTGTACCGACAGAGGTAGCAGCAGGCACCACGTCAATGGTCCTAGACCATACGTATATCTCACTCAGAGAGAGAGGGGATTCTAGTTCACAGGATAGCGTAACTGCTATTTGTCCGAGAAAACACGATGGGAGTGCTGAAACACTCTTCAAAATAAACAGTATCGAATCGGAGGTGGGCTCGATAGTAGGTATGGAGAATGCCAGACAGGGTCTTGAACCTGAGAACGTGATTGGTTTTGAACCTATAATTAAGTCCACTCAAGATGAGCTGTATAATGACCGAGCACAACGGCATCCCTTCTCAAGAATCCAGGAACCTCACACGCTTGTCGGAGCGTTTGGGCTTGCTGAGGGCACCCCGAGCTTGTGTTCATTAGATGGTGAACTAAAAGAAAGCATTTGTGTGAGAGATTGTGGCATTTGGACATTCGTGTCTCAGTGCGTTTCGTGTCGACGCCGACGGCTCGAGACCGCGCCCTGTTCCTCTGTGACCGGTAAGCGTTCATGTGGCCGGCGGGGGCGCAGACACGCGTTTCAGCGAAAGTGCATAAAAGCATGTTTGCCACAGTTACTTTCGAAACGTGCGAGAAGGGCAGTGCGTCTGGTTTGGGACGCGATAACCTGAGTGTAGGGTTAGAAAACCGGTAGCTCTTTCTGGACTTCGACTTTTAGATGCGGACACAAGTAGCTTTGTCCATAGTCGATTTTGTAGTAAAAAGGTTTATTCCGGGTTTCAGAACTTTTAAATGCAATTGGGTGAATCTAAAGTTTAAGTGTGGACATTTGGACGATGTTGCGAACTGTAGCCCGGTGATGTGTTGAACTGCGTGGTGCAAATATGTGGTTTAATTGTGACGTAGTGCAGAACGCGCACTCATTGGCAGTTTTTTTTTTCTAAAAAAAAAACTTGAATAAAAGGGGGGCGTATGTGATGTGTGGTGCGCGTTCAAAGTGCGCGCCTTCGAAAAGTGCGCGTCACGGAAAAAAAAAAAAAACAAAAGGAGAAATACCAGAGTGCACGTGCGGTGCTGCTTAAACAAGAATGACGACGTTAAAGAGCGTCAAGCACGAGGATGCGTGGCAGGACGTGAAGTAAACAAAAGGTAAAACATCCAATGGGCAGCGAACACGGAGATTTCAAGGCCCAATGGCTTGACACCACGAAACAGGAGTATCTCCAATGAGAACGAGACAAGTGGGCCAGAGCTGAAGCAGGAGCCTGAGCAGACCAGAGCAAGGGGAATTCGAGGCAGGCAGTGCAAGCGGAAGGTCGTCACCGGACCGGGCGCTGAAGATGGGCCGTTGGGTTCCGGACCCGAGCCTACAGGACTTCCACCGGCCGGGGCCTCCTGCTGTCGGGTTCCCGCTCCAAAGGACCGTGGCCATCCGGTCCTGAACTCCTTTCCAGGGCCTGCGGACTTTGGTTCCGGCAGGCGAGCTACAGCCGTCGGGCTCCGGGCCCGAGCTGTGCGCCCAGCTGCTTGACTAGGTCGACCCTAGTTCCCGGACGCGTCGCCACCAGCCTGCGTTCTCCCGTCTCCGACGTGTCCACGCTCCTCAAGCCGAAACCATCACGATTTGGTAGGGCTTTTCGACGTGTCGCCAGCAGCCAGCGTTCCCTCGTCCTCGTCCAGCCCACGCATTGACGCAGGAGTCACGGCGTTCCGGTTTCTCATCACCGCCGAAAACCAACTTGTGGGTGAGACTGCACCGATACTCTTGCGCTACTCCCATCACTCAGCCCCTTTCGAACGTTAGGTTTAGTTACTGACTTTGAACGTTTTTGTTGGGTGTTTACAGATGTGTTTCGTCATGTCCAGTCAACTGTTTATTAAGTGTTTTGTTTTGTGAGGAATCTTTGCCTTTTTTTCTTTTCAATTAAACTTTTTGTGTGTTTCTTGGAAACCGAACGGCTTTGTCCTTATTAACAAAACTCTCTGAGGCTCAGCCCGGGAGAAAAACAAATCAGCAACAAGAACCTGCATCACACGCCCTTAAAATCAAAGTTCATTATTGCTACTCGAGCGACCTCCCCCCACTCCCCGCGTTGTTTCATGCTCGTTCAAGACGGCTGGTTTTCTTTCTATTTGAGTGTTCGGCGGCAGTTCTAACACGAGGGAGATTTCATCTTATGCACTTCCCAAGTAATAGGGATGGTTCGACTCATTTGATCTCTGCTGCAGCAGTGCTCGTGCGCTTTTACCCGCTCGTGAAAGTTACGATGCGCGGGGGCATATGTGTTATCAATTAGGACTTGTTACAGAACATGGCGGCAACCGCAAAAAATCGCCGAGAGTGTTCACATTATTGCTATCGCAATAATAGCGCAGTTTTTTACTTTAAGTGTTTTGCGTTAGCTCTGCCTTCAGTCCCCCTTTTGTTTCATTTGTGCATTTAACTCCCAAATTTTTGTACCTAACCTACATATAACGAAATCTTCTTTATAACAAATTTTCTGGGAATTTATTAATTTTGTTATATTCAGGTTTATTTGTATCAGATTTCCGTTTACTGAGAGTCTCCTGTAGCTAGAACCAACGTAAAAAAAAAAAAAGAGAGAGATAAAGAAATGCTTACAACAGGACTAGAAGCTGTATGTTTCTTTATGTATTTGCATCCTGAACCAAAGGCTTTGTTTCATTTTAATGTTGGATAAATGCTTTCTCTTTCTGAATGTTATCTTCACTGTTTCGTTCGGCCTACATTCGATGTTTTCTTTTCCCGGACTTGTGGGGGTCGGACAAGATTAAATACAGTAACAACATGCATGCATTTTTATCTGGGCAAGAACGAAAGCAAGAACTAAGTCCTCTCAATAACCTCCATAAAAAAACAGACTGCCATATCCAGAGTGGCCAACTGTTGGGAAAGACACAAACAAGAGAGCATAAATTACTAGAAAACAGTGGATACAAAAATGCAGATGATTGATACATCTTATAGAGCCAAATTACTATTTCGCATTAGTGAGGGCTGGCGTTTTCTTGCGGTTACACCTACAATGCCGGCAACACCTGCGAGGCAATACAGGATTTGCTTGAACAATACTTGCCATTTCCTTCAGGTACATTAGATGCTGGAGACATAGACATCTTCAGGTAGTCGCTGGACTCGGACATGTTCATTGGCTGATGCCCACCAAGGTTCCCAGCAAAAGTCGTTGGACGAGAGTAATGGGAGCTTTTACTGCTACCTGCAAATCACACGACAGAACGAGATGCGCACATTTGTCAGACGAACACTTCTTGTCGTAGTATTAAAATGTAACCAGGTTTTATGAATGCATTCGACATTACTTGCATGGTAAGAACGATAGGAAGTCGAGTAGTTGGCAGAAATTTGGCGCAAACAAAGTTGGGGCATGCAGACGTCGACATGACAGAAGGCATGGTTAACTGCAGCCTTATTTCATTAGAAATATCCTCGTGTGCAGGGGCACACTGAAAAGTAAATAAGAACTTTCCAAGGTAAAAGTCAATTTAAATGCTTAATTAAAAGCACTAACAATCCTTCAGGTGACAAGCTAGGCCATTTCGTGTGTTAAGCGACACCCACTGCATGCTCACAAGCGAACTAAACCACCTTTGCAATGTATGAACTGTCGCCATTTTACTAAGGCGCGATACAACCACACCCGACCGATCATCCCTAGCTAGTTACTATGCGCACAGCTAGACAGGAATCTGTATGCAGTCTACTGTATGCGTGCATTTGTAAGTTCTTCATGCATGCTGCACTCCGGAGCGCGCAAGGGTGCAGCGAGTGGCTTGTTAGTCCTGTGTGTCTTTCTTGTCCCGTGTATCGGCACTGTTCACTGCTATGAATCCGGTTATGACAAAACAAGTTACAGCTACAGTGAAAAATACGAACCAACTGGTGATGACATCATCAGGTATTCGTCAACAGCAGCCTCCTCCTTGATGGTCGGCTCCTTGGGTCCAGCCATGATGTCCATTGGCAGTGAGTGGCTGTACCGGCTGTGAATTGCGATGATAGATTCAAATAAATACATTGGATGTGCCGATTTCCTTCTGTTAAGGCACTAGGAAGACATGTTACATTATACTCCATTCTGTAGATCAGGTGCAGTGCTGTGAAAACTATGCAAACTGTACGAGTTCGTGCATCTCCCACTTGCATTTCACCATTTTAAACGTGGCCTCTGCGATTGGGTCTGACTGTGCACTCTAAGAAACTAATTAATCGTGGAGGCTATGATGCGCAAAGAAAGAGATGCTAAGCAATCCAAAACAATGTAATAACTATATAACTATCGGGATTCGTTTATTTGTAGAACACTAAGCATTTAATTTATTAGTCAGTATAAAAACGAAGGCAAACAAAAAAAGTCACATTACGGGTCAGGAATGCAGCAAGGAATTTTTTTCGGAGAGATTTGTATCATCCGTAACAATCGCACACTCAAGAAAGCTACGACGATGTACCCGCGCCTTACTCTGCCCAGACAGATACATCATCAGAACTACCTTTTCCCACATTCAGTAATTACTTGAAGGTCATCCTCACACTTATCTTGCCAATGCACTCAAGCCTCATTACAACAAAGTTTCATATTACAAGAAAGTAAGTTTGTTATATCCAAAAGTTCATTATAAAGGTTTGATTGATTGATATGTGGGGTTGAACGTCCCAAAACCACCATTTGATTATGAGAGACGCCGTAGTGGAGGACTCCGGAAATTTTGACCACCTGGGGTTCTTTAACGAGCACCCAAATCTGAGTACACGGGCCTACAACATTTCCGCCTCCATCGGAAATGCAGCCACCACAGCCGGGATTTGATCCCGCGACCTGCGGGTCAGCAGCCGAGTACCTTAGCCACTAGACCACCGTGGCGGGGCAACATTTCAGACAGGAGCCCTCAGTTAAGAGCAAAGTAACATACTTCAGTAGCCCGTAGAAGAAATGCCCAAGGTGCCAGAAAAATTAGAAGAAATGAAGCAAGCCTTACTTGAAGTACTCGGCTTGTCCGTCTGTTTCATCCGCTGCCGAGAGCACGCTGCTCGTGCTGTCAAACGAGCCGACCCTGAAAAGCGGGAGGTCGCAATGAGTATCTCTGCACCTGGTGAGCCAGCTTAGAAGTTAATGAGACTCGTGTAAAAGCATACTTAGCATCTACATGCCACAAAGATTTTGTAGTACATTATCAAAATCCTTTATTGCAGTATGAAATCCACTGTAACCAGGCTTCCTACTTTCATATTGATATTTTTTTTTTACTTAAAGTTCTATGGAGTAGCAAAGAGAGATAAATTTAATATGTAGTGTAAATAACAATGTCATTTCCAACTCTCCACTTCCAAATGAACAATATAGCATTTTATTATATTAACTAGCATTTATCCGCAAACACAGCACACAAAAATCAGCATATACAAATCGGCAAGTATGTGAGAAACCACAAAACAGAGATTTTTGATATTGTGGTCAACTTTTAATTTTTTGACTGCAGCCAATTCGGTGCTCTTCGGACACAAGTATAACTAAACTTGCTTGAAGCACGTATTTTCTAGTTTTTGTGGCCCCTCACACTGCCAGAAGGCAGGTGCTGCCACAACTTTTGTCATGCAGGAGGCAACATTTTCGCAACTTTGAGAATGCCCTGTCTTTGAAACCCCATAAATTTTTTATTGAGGCTTGACTTCCTTGAGACTAAATTCATTTTTTGTGTGAGTTGATTCCACATTGGTGAAACTTCCGAAGGATCTGAAATGTTTCTCAACTCTAAAAAGATTGTCGGCAGGCTATGTGTATTGTTCAGCCGAGTTGGTTAAATTTAAAAAGAGAAAAGAAAAGCTCACTGAATTTCATACTGAGTAGGTCGTTTGAAGTGAAAGAAATCGAAACACAAAATAAAACAGCGTAAAAATGAAGTTACTCGACATGCAGCTGTTTAAAAAAAAAACAGGACTTCCAGACAGAAAAGATTCATCACACAGAATCTGAAATCTTATTGTCATTGTTAATTACCACATAGCCCTGACCTAACAGCAGTACCATACATCAATACAAAATGTATTCAAGGCAAGGAACACTTTAAAATTGTTATTTGACACGAAAACATACACAACAAAATAGTTTGATAGGATTAGACATTACAGGTGGTAATGAGGACAAAAGTCTAAAGGCAAGTGATCTAAAAACGAGTCATCTACAAAGTGTTTTAACGAGGAGGACATCGTACAAGCAAAAACAGTATCGCAAGACACTGTAGTTACTGGCCTCGTTTAATTTGACAGCGGCCGTTTAACGCTGAATTTGCAGGCAAGAGAAAGTTAAACGAAAACGCTCAGAACTTTTCTATATGCTAATGTGTGGTACCTACACATGCCAATGATATGCATGTACAAGATATTGATTGAGAAACCTTTGTCTTCAAACATGGTTCATACAAGATTAAAGGGACACCAAAGTGAAAGACTAAATTGGTAGACTGAACTGACAATTACTATTATTATTAAAATTTTTTTGTTTGTGAACCCTTCTGCGTCAATTCTGCCATCATGGGTTTATCACCAGAAGAGAAAATGAAGCGAAAGTATTATTCTTAAAATTTATCTTTGAAACCCTAGCACATCCAGTCCACGCAGTGTCTAGATTGGCAAGCTTTTTTTTCATATTTTGAGCACACGAAGATCCATAAAATTTTTTGAAGTCTGTCATTTGGTGAATCGGATTCCTTTTGTTGAGTCGGTTTAGGTTTGGTTAGGTTAACAAATAACCGTATTTACTAGCATAAAACACGCACTTGCATAATAGGTGCACGCCTAGTTTGGTCGCGAGAAATGAGATTTTCTTAAATTTCTGGGCTCAATAGGTGCACTACGAACATGGTCGTGATCAGTTCCATAATGTATTTGCTTGGTTGCAATTCGATGCCCTCTTGCGTTAATTGAAGCGAAGAAAATGAAAAGAAAACAGACTGCAGCACCACTGCGCAAACTGCACAGGCTCGTGGAGTGAGGAAAAAGAACAGTTGCTTGGGAATCGGAGTAACCGTTGAGTAACCTTTGCACCAGCGTGGTGAACGGCCACTAGCCAGCCACGTGTACTTCACACAGAACGTGCGATCGTATTCTCGTTAAGTGGGCTTTGAGTTTTCCAGTCGGAGAAAGCGCCGCCATCGCGTTTGCCATCTCGTCTGCAAAGTTAAATGTTTTCAACTTTCTGACGTGGGCTTTCGCCTTTGCTGCCAGTAGACTTGCGCAAGCTCGGCGAACGTTTGTCGTCGTTGATTTCCCGATCGCAAACCTAAACATTGTATCACGCGCGCTACTCTTGAATTAGTACTTGAGTGCGATATTTTTGACACCCAGTTTTCATGCTATCTTGCACAAACTTGCCGTGACAACATGTCGAACCGTAGGCCAGGCCTAATCAGTGTTGGTTGCTCTTCAATGGTGGCCACGGGCAGTCACGGTTAGGGTTTTGTATGGAATCAGGAACGGTGACGATTGTAACACTAACGGTGGTTCGCAATTGGATTGCAATGTCTTAGATATGGGGTGCGAGCCCGTGAAATCGAACGATCAATACTGTTCAGCGCACAGAACTTCGGTTGTGATAATGTGCATAATCGAGGTGGCTTGAAATGTAACCGGCGAATTTTCACGACGGTGCTTTCTTTTGGTAGTTTTTTTTTTTTTTTGCATTAACTTCCTTGGCAATGCACACCTTTCGATGTTGATTTTTGGAAACTTGAATCGTCACCGCATGGCATGGCTCGATATTCAGAAATGCGAAACCTGAACGGTCAACACGTTTTGTGTTAGCATAGCCTACGAAGAAAGATGTTTCGGCTGCAGTGCGAATATTCCCGACTTTGGCGACGTACACGTTAGCTGCAGTTTATCCTATAGTTAGAAATATAATTGTCGTGAATTTTCCCCGTATAATAAGCACACTTCGAACTTAAAGCCGGCTTTTTTCTGGAAAAAAAGTGTACCTATTATGCAAGCAAATACAGTATAATTCAAGCATTTTTATCATAATCTTCACCAGCTTAAAATGGGCTGATACCCCTTTGCTTGCAGTGAGAACAGTGTGGTCGCCTTCACTTGGCATATGCTCCGACTCTCATGAATGCAATCATGATATTTGTTAGCTAAGAAACTAACGGCACCTGTCGACGTGTTGGAGAAGTAATAGGAGCACCTGTCTCGCGTGGCTGTGAAGAAATTTTACGTGACCACAAGTATTCATCAAGCTTATTTCACTGCCTTTTTATATTAAAGGAACAGTTGCAAATGTCATAATGAAAGCAGATGGCCACAGTTGCACTCACTCCTGAGAAATGGTCAGCGGAGAACACTGAGTGTAATGGAACACTATGCAAGGAAGGCCATCAATATTGCTGTCACTCTTTAGCGTTGCTAGATGAGAAACACATTCACCTGAAATACGTTGCGCAAGGTTGACAAAGAGAAAAAAAGATGAGACAGAAAGAGCGCCAACTCACAACTAAGTTTATTTTCATGAAGCATTCACAATATATAGGCTCTTGAAGGACATGCACAGACCATTTCATTCACCGCACGTGCAGGCATGAACATTTTGATGATGTAATAACCGATAATTGCAATCATGATATCTGGGAACCAGCAACAAACAGATATGCCTAATGTAAAGACGTCGAAAAAACCAAACACACCCAAGCCTGCGCAAAAAAAAAAAAGAGAGAAAAAAACAGCAAAAAAAGACTGACAGACACTTCGTAGCACCCATCTAAAGTACATCTAGATCCAACAGTTGGAATTCACTGTTATGCAACACAACTGAAGGCACGCTGACGCACGAGTCACCTTTCTTCATTATGTGAAAGGCTTCGAGTAACTCCCGCGCCAGCGCATTCCGGCTCCTTCCAAGTACTCGCGTGCGATCGAACTGCGGCGTGCAGCCACACGAAGCACAGTGAAAGGGCAAATGAGACCCTGTTCCATTCCTAATTGATAAGGAATGCTCCCTTAGACGGTCATTTGTGCAGCACCCTGTCTGACCTATATAGACCTTGCCACAGCTCAGGGGAATTTCATAAACAGTGCCCACAGCACAACGCAGGAACAGCTTTACGTGCTTCTTATCGCACACCCCCTTGGCACCTCTTGAAGAAATGCGGGCACAGAGCCTTGAAAGCTTATTTGGAGCAGAGAAAACCACTGGCACATGGTGCCGATTTGCAACCTTTTTCAGGTTGTGGGAAATTTTGTGCATGTATGGTACAACATGCGGTCTTTTCCTCTGTCATTGCAATGGCTCTGGCCTCCTGCGTTCCCCCTTCAGCCTCTGCAGCAATGTTTCAGACACACTGACTAAGACCGAATAAGGAAACCAGGCTGCAGTGAGCCGCGATACCTGAAAGGAAAAACTATCAAGCACTGTGTGCTGACATGAGTTGGACAGCGCAGAATGAAAACGCATAGCAGCTATAGACCTCTTCACCACCTTATAATGTGCAGAATCATAAGAAAGAAGTCCTTTTCTCGTTCTAGGGCCGAACTTCCAACAGACATGACCCTCGCCCAGAGTCAGGTTAATATCTAAAAACTTCAAGCTTTCGTCAATGGGCAGTTCATACGTAAAATTCAAGCCTTTTCCATGTTGTCGGAACAGGTTCAAAACCAAATCTACCTCTCTAGAGTGCGTTACAGGGTTAGTAGAAGTTAACACCACGAGGAAATCGTCCACATATCTAAAAAGCTTAGATAAGGAATGCTCCCTAAGGGAGCATTCCTTATCAATTAGGAATGAAACAGGGTCTCATTTGCCCTTTCACTGTGCTTCGTGTGGCTGCACGCCGCAGTTCGATCGCACTCGAGTACTTGGAAGGAGCCGGGATGCGCTGGCGCGGGAGTTACTCGAAGCCTTTCACAGAATGAAGAAAGGTGACTCGTGTGTCAGCGTGCCTTCAGTTGTGTTGCATAACAGTGAATTCCAACTGTTGGATCTAGATGTACTTTAGATGGGTGCTACGAAGTGTCTGTCAGTCCTTTTTTGCTGTTTTTTCCTTGTTTTTTTTTGCGCAGGCTTGGGTGTGTTTGGTTTTTCGACGTCTTTACATTAGGCATATCTGTCTGTTGCTGGTTCCCAGATATCATGATTGCAATTATCAGTTATTACATCATCAAAATGTTCATGCCTGCACGTGCGGTGAATGAAATGGTCTGCGCATGTCCTCCAAGAGCCTATATATTGTGAATGCTTCATGAAAATAAACTTAGTTGTGAGTTGGCGCTCTTTCTGTCTCGTCTTTTTCTCTCTTTGTCAACCTTGCGCCACGTATTTCAGCCTAATATGTACCAACTAGCCCAACATAGCGTACTGTTAAGAAACACATTCATCGTTTTTTTTCTTTCTGAGATCGAAAAGTTCTGCTTACAACATAGCTACGCACTTTTATTATCAACCAAGCTTTTCATTGCGCTGTAATGCTGTTAGAAAAACTTAAAAAAAATCAGCAGCCGATCCCTTTACCTTAATTATAGATTTATTAACAGATGAGAAACGCAATGTAGAAAGTCTTACTTTTAAATTTTCTGCTGAAATCTTCGATGTGTGACATCACACATCTTGTTTTTTTTTCATGTTGTGGTTGAACTGGCGTAATTTCTGAAACTTGCTATTGTTAACTCTCTGGCTCCCGCAGAAGACAATGTTCTTTGTTAATCGATTAGAAACTACATTAAGCCTACAAAGCAAGGAACTACGTACGCAGATACCGACATCACGGCAACTGCTCACGATTTTTGCGGTGGCTTAGCACGAGCGTTTTCTTTTTGCGCATTTTCTCGCTTACCAGGCGTGTTCTCACAACAAGCATGGCGATTGCAGTATAGCGAAAAATTTACTAATACGAGGAAAGTATCGTCTCTCTCTTTGGTGTCCCTATAAAGCAAGCCTGTACTTTTGGGTCACAACACACATTCACGCAAACATATTGACGCACACAACTACTTTTTCTTTACATTTTAACACAAGCCTGAACTTCCAAGTAGACAATCACACACATACACACAAATGTTTCTACGCAAACAGTTATGCACACACACACGTACACACATGCACACACTCGCAGGCACGTTTGGGGAACCTACGTGATGGGGTTGTTAGACGGTGGGGAGACCGAATAGGTTCTCCCGTAAGAACTATGGGGCCTGGCCGTCGCCTCAGCGGTGTGGGTCCGAGAGAGCCCACTGCAAGTTTGCCACCGATTGGTGGAACAAGGCATGGTGGGGAAACTTTAGAGAGCGGCCATTTGCCAGCAAAGAGAAAAGAAAAAAAGAAACACAAGAAAGAAAAACAAGGTATACGCACAAAAAACAACAAAAAAACACTGCTATTCAAAAAGAAAAATTACATGTTCCTTAAGGCTACTTTTCTGTCAAACAAGATGAAATTTTACGGCCAACAAAAAAAAGCATGTGCATGAAAACTATACCGTGAAATTTGGTGGTGTAACGAAGTTGGACTAAAGATCAGAGACTAAACATTAAGATCTGATCACGTAGGCTCGCAGTTTGCGTACCTAATTACCCTCTGACAGGCAACAGTTCTTGCTGAAATTGTCTCAAAGCAAGTTTTAAAATAGTTGCAAGTGGCAATGAAATTAATGTCCCCATTCAAAATGATTTCATGCCCGTTTACTTGCAAGAAAAAAAAAAGCAGCACTCGAAGAAAATTAGTAATAGAAGTATCTATTGACTGGCTTTTCAAATCAACTTTAATCAACATGAGACTAAATCTACAAGCTGAGGTTGGAACTGCTTCTACGCCATTTCATAGCTCAGAGTGGTAGACGTTTATCTGCAACATAAAATTGCTACCAATCTGAATTATGGCACATCACTTGCAGTAAGTGTTATCACAGGTAATCGACAAGCGAGTTTTCTGTTCCATTTATGACAATATTTTAAAAGTAGTTTAGCATGTCTGTACAGTGGACTCCTCTTAAACGGAACTCAAAAGGGCAAGAAAATTTGTTCCATTTACGGGAAGTTTCATCTAAGCAAAGCTCACAAAATGAATGAAATAAGACTATTTTAAAAGCACCAACTGTGTCTGACTGAACAAACACATCTTAAAGTATACAATACTTATATCGTTGATTAGAAAGAAAAATGTTGCTAATATTGCTTACAGATATCTCTGTTTACAGCCGCACTTTCTCCAGAAACTGTCTTAAAGACAAGACCATGCTGCTTTTTGAAACGGTTCAGACAGCCATCGCTGACCCGCAAGGGCTCGATCCCCATGTGAGTAGCAATCTCTTTGGCCTTTTCTTCGAAAATGGGGCCGCTGATCGGGAAGTTCGCACTGCACGCACGCTTGAATTGGAGAAAAAGAGCATCTTCGATTGCTTTGTACGCCGCTGTTTTCATCCGCATTCAGTCTGTGGCGAAGGTCACAAGCTTTGCAGCTTCTTCAATCTTCCCTTTGTTCTTGAGTATCTTCAACATTGTAGACTAGGGTATATTAAACTTGTTCACAATTTCTGTCTTCGATAGGTCGTTGCGGTGAAGTTCTTGAATGATTTTTTCTTTCGTTATTAGCAAAAGGGCATTGTGCTGCTATTTTTTAGTTTCCATCTCAAGTTCACGACGAGATGGAAACAAAGAAGATGCAAACGAGATGGGTCGTTTGCTGCTTGGCGTGCACGGACATGTGCAATCGCTGGATTTGCTTGCCTAGGCTAGCTTCGGCATTTGTTTCATGGTTGCTAGACTGCCGTGGCCCCTTCCGCCGTTCATAAATTTTGTCCCTTTTTGTTTCATTTAACCGATGTAGGTGAAAAAAAGTGTTCCGATTACCCAAAACTTTTTATCATTGTATATATAGGAGACCAACCATATGTAGGCGAAAAAAAGTGTTCCGATTACCCAAAACTTTTTATCATTATATATATAGGAGACCAACCATATGTGCTTAAATAGTTTCGTTCATGCGGCTTTTCCGTTTAAGCGAGTTTCGTTTGTTGGGAGTCCACTGTAATTTTTACTTTGCACTAGTCACAGCTGCAAGAGGTAGGAACAACAAAATTGCAGTTCCTAGCACTGGCACTACGTAACCTGAGGCTGCCCCCCCCCCCCGCCCAATTAAAAAATAAACAATTTCATTCCTTGTCCACTCTCAAAAAGAAAAGTGGGGGGGGGAGAGAAACGGGGGAAGAAAAAGTAAAACACAACAAAGTGTAACTTGGGATTAAATTGATTGCTGAAAAAGGAAAACAAAAGAGTTTATCCAAGGCTGATGTGCGGTAAAAAACTGTACCGAGCTTCAAAGCACAGCTGCAAAAAATGCAATAATGCTAATTTAAATCTGACATTCGGATTACTTAAGGTTTTGACAAAAAACAACCAATCTTTTTTTATAGCCAAGGCTACTGTAGCAGGGATACGTATGAAGTGCAACACACACAAGTCTTCCTTTCACACCACCATTGTGTCCAACAATAATCGAGTTGCAAGTACAGCTTGCGGCAACTAACAACTGAATGCTCAATTAAGAGATATAAAAAGAGGCAGCATGCTTAAAGAAATCAAATCAGAATTAGGCGATTTTCTTTGAAACAATATTTATTTAAAAAAAAGGTCTGGCAGACAACTCAACCTTCCGATTCAGATCAAACGAATATGATATGCACTCAAACTTTGATATAAAGAACCCGTATATAGAAACATCGATTACAATGAAGTAAATAAAAATTGTCTTGCAATAGATGTAGTTTTGGGAATAAACCTTTATGACAAAGTGTTGGATGTAATAAAATTATTTTTGTTTAAGATATAGTAACTGTTATCATGAGGTTTGAGTGCATATCTGTTTTTTTTTTACATGAAAGCTAACAGATTACACTCCAAGACGAAAAAAGAAAGGTGAATTCAATGAGTTTTTCTGCCACACGGGAGCAATTGTCAATTATCTCATTTGCTTTTCTATGTTATTGCCACGTGCCTGGTATTCCAAGGTCACGAGCTGCACACGGGTGTCGCCGTGACATAGCACTTATAATAGGAAAGTAACAGCACACATTCTTCAATAAAGAAAATGCAAACAGGCCAAAAAGATTTGCCGTACGATCCTACTTGCCTCGAAGTGCAGATATCACTAGCCCTACAAGCCAAACAGGACTGCTCGGGGCATGCTAACCATACACTTGGTTAATCTAAGTACACATTCACTTTTGCATTTCGTCCTTACTGGTGTTTGGCAACCATGACCGGGAGTTATACCTAAGACCTCATGCTAAGCACACACAAGTGTAGCAGCTTAGGCTAGTTGGTATGACATGACGATAGTTATAGCGCGAGAACAGAACGATGACACAGAGACAATAAGGACACGAAGGACATGAGCGCTCGTGTCCTTCTTGTCCTTATTGTCTCTGTGTCGTCGTTCTGTTCTCGCGCTATAACTATCGCTAAGCACACAGCTATGGACTCAAAGCCCACAAATTGTGCCCTCATTTAAATTTGACATTCAAATTAGTTTAAGTTTTTAGGTGGGTGCTAACTTACCACTCTCAACAACTGCTACTTCGAATGCTGCCATCTAGAGGAGTAGGAAAATTTTGTCATTGAATCATCTACTGAGTAGTATTCAAAACATGTTAACCCCACTGCTATAGCCACAAAGCCCCTGATGTGTGCCCTCATTTGAATCTCACATTGAAATTTAGCTTAAAATTTAGGCAGGTGCCACCACCATGCTCAGTAACTGCTACTTCCAACCCATAATCACCTTTAACGCGTGTTGGAAAAATTTAGCATCGAACTGTCGATCAAGTACACGATAGACAATAAAAGCGGGCGTCAGGGCAGCAAGCTGACCTGCTCTCGCCGTGCGACTCGCTGCTGTTGCGAGTGCGAGACGTGGGCATGGAGTCACACCGGTCCCGGCAACTTGTGGAAGCGTGCGTCGCCGTGGTGGCCACGGCATGCGCGGGCCGCTTGTGTGCGATGGGCTTGCTGTTCTCGCTTGTCGAGGAGCTTCGGGGACGCGTAAAGGCACCGAGTTCTTCCTTGTTCCGAGAGGTCTTCATTGCTCTGCACGGTGAATTCGTTTAGGCCCCTCGAGTAAAAGTAAAAATGTTTCTGTAAACTACGCGAGATCAATCGTACATTCTTCTGACTACTTCCTTACAGATTAACCAGCTCAACAACAAACAGACATGCAAATAAAAGGCAATTAGAATACACTTTCTGCTACCTTTGTACAGTTGAACCATTTTCTAAGAGACACTGATGCAAGGGACAAATAGGTATAAGAGACAGCAGTGTTCCTACATTGAAATAGGGGTTGATAACAAATTGCATATGTGGTACCATGCTTATAAGATACATTCAATGTAAGGGACAATAGCTCCCCAATGCTTATCTTTTATAAAGGGGTTAAAACTGCACAGACTCACTATCTCTGAAAAAAAAATAATACATGCAGAAAGTGAAATATAAAAGCTTTAGACAAAACCAACTTTATGTTGACTATATACAGTGCCCACATATTGATATGGTGCATCACATTTTTTTCACTATAACGATGGCTCTGAGCAATTGATCAAGATAACTGCATTATGTCAAAGCGAATATGACTGCTAAAGGTAACGATAGCTGTGATGTAAGCGTTCAAGTCAAAATTGTGCCAATATGACACGTACCGAATATGTTCGAAATGAATGTATGTGAATTACTTGTGTTAATGCTAGTTGGTTTGAAAGCATTGTAACAAAGAACAGCCCAAAAAGACAGAGATAAAAGGGGCACAAACACGAGCGCTTGTGTTTGTGCCTTTTTCATTCCTGTGTTTTTGCGATCTTCTTTCAAACAACGCATTACTTATCCCTACATTTCATTCATTTCAAACTGCTAATACTGTATATGTGGTAGACGCAACTGATATCCCATACTTGCCATTATATAAACAACTCTAACTTACACTGGCCAACCGTAAGCTAACACTAGCCAAGATTAGTAGGAGCTTGAAGCATGCAAATGAGCATGGCACACTAGGGCGCCACTGTTCTCCAATAGCAAGGGAGACTGCTCGTTGAAGGGCCACTCACCAGGTTTGACAATTTTGAGCTGACAAGCGCAATGCGTAGACGAGGCGTTCATAATCACGTTTGCCAAAATTTGCAATGCTACGCGCGGCGGAAATGGGTCAAATTTCAAGATGAACGCTCCTCCCCCTCTCCTCTGCCGGCGCACACCTAGAGAATGAGGGCATGACGTAGACGTATGAATGGCCCTATATATACGGCAATGCAATGACGTTGGTCCTCTACGTAGACGACTCTGCTCTGACGTTGTCAACAGTATACCACGTGACATGGTAAAAATTATTTAACACAACATGCTTAGTTTATCTATTTGTTCCTGTAAGCGATTAATAAAACTTGAAATAAATAATGAGACGCAATAAAAAATTGTGCACGTTTTTCTTTCATTTGTTCCCGCAAATTGCAACGAAATGCGGGGCTAATGTGTCGGCATTTCGCATGCATTTGTGTCCCCGCGGTCAGTGCTTGGAGCAGACGAACGCCGTGGAACACTCCTACGCGTTCGCACACTCATTGTGCTCATCTATTTTACCGCGTCTAAGCCAGCGTTTCCAAACCATCCCGCAGAAACAGGCAGAAGACCACAAAATAACGCTGGACAACAAACCAACGCTGCTCGCGTGCTCGGGGGTTGGATTTGTTTGGGCACGTCATGCGCACGTCACCTCTTGGTCGGATGCTGGAGAGGATGGGGAAGAGATTTGGCTTGCGAAGGCTACGCGGAGGAGCGGCAAGGGTTTCGAGCTCGCATCCTCTCATCCTCGTTTCGCGCCGCTTTAAAAAACTTGTTTTTTCCGCTCGTGATAAACTGACTCAAAATCTTTTTGTGGCAAAATGTTCCTCATCGGACACCCAACAACTTCCATTGTCTAACTAACATTCGGTATGGGGCCTGGTGAGAGGCCCTTTAAGGTCTGTTCACTCGTATCAGGGGGAGCAAGAAAAAAAGCGATAAACAAGCACAGAGAAACTTCCACTGTCGTCAGCTCACCCCAGAATGGTCTCATGCATGTTCTGAGCGATGACTGTGTCTTCTGTCTGCATCCACAGCTCCCCAGACCCAGTGACTGAAGAACGGCCAAGCTCCATGAAGAAGAAGCAGTCAGAGTGGCCGCACCGCCGTATGCTCATCAGCTGGAGCGAGTGGAAGGCACCAAGAATGCCGTTATCAAATTGTAGAATGACAGCGTCATCTTTTTTTTTTTTTCCCTCACTATTTCAAGTCCCAACGACAACATCCAGACCTTTATTACTGTATTCTGGGAGTAGGCAGTTTTTCTCGCAATAAGAAATGGGCATTAAATCTGAGCTATAACCTTTTCCCCAAAGGTAAAACACCAAACCCTTCACTGATGCTCCAAGATGCCCAGTGCATTTCAGTAGACTATCCGGAATGACTATCGGAACCTGAAGGGACCGGCAAAATATGTTTAACATGAGTTCTGCTTACTGAGAGACCAACAGGGGTGCAGAATTCAGGTACAGACCAATCATGTTAGAGGCAGTTGTTCCATTTAAGCCGCAATTCCATTTAAAAGATTATCGTTTACTCATACCTGCCAACCTCGTAACATAGAAATTCGTAAACCCCCCCGAGCGGGAAAGGGGAGCGAATGGGGGGGGGGGGAGGTTACTGACTTTTTCTTAAAATTTGTAGCTGTGATGGATTTATCTTTAGCGACAAGCATAATCATGGTTTGCCGCAATAAGTCAAAGAATATTTTCCCCCATTTTTGGCACAAAAAAAAAAAGCATTGCGAAAAACAAGAGGGAGGGGGGGTACTAAATGCAAGCATCAGCGTTGCGGTTTCGTAATCAACGCTACTAGGGTTTCCCACTAAGGTGAGATTCTCAAAGGCGGAGCGCAAATGCTCCAGAAATTTCGCGTTATCAAAACAGCTAGCAAAAAAATCGATTTCTTCAAAACAACTCGCGAATGTCTTCACACGTGAACGAACGGGACAGCGCAGCTGGCTGCCGCGAGAGCATGGTTCAAAGCTTTGGCTTTGCTTGCTACTAGATTCTTTGGGGAGGAACGCCAAAATGCTTCTAGCCTTTTTTACGACTTTAACGCCTTTAATCTACCGCGGCGTCAGCCACGTGCCCTCGGAGCTCGTAGATCGCTTTCGCATCCCCACGACCACGGTTTTGTGCGCGGCGGTTGTGGCAAACGGTAGTTTTGTTTTCAATCCACGTGCCTTAAAAACTAAGTCCGTTTATGCTATTGATAATCGCAACTGCTGCAGTTTTGTCCACAGTTTGCGGAAAGCAACGTTGCTTTGACTGGTTGAGCGTTGGCCGCACGCACACTTTCAGAGTTTTGTCAGTAATGTCGTCGCCATACATGATCGTGTCGGAACGACCACAATTTTGTCCACAGCGGCTGTGGCAATGCGCACGCACTGTAAAAGACAGTGCGTGCGCTGGTCGCACGCATACTTCCGAAGCTTCGAGCACGATGCTCTCCATTGGCCTTCATTCGACGGTTTCGGTACTAAAGTTTATATCACATGCCATGATTAGGAAAAGTGTTCAAAACATTAGAATTTTGGCCCAATGGACACATTCATTTGATTGGCCAATTTCACTGATTCTTATCTGCCGAAGTTTCAGATCACTAAGACTCTACTGTATGTTTAGATAAAATCCTCTCAAATTTGTTCATAATAAAACGCGGTGGGCTTGCAAAAAGCCTGCAATAAACTGACGTGCATTTTTGTCAATGCCGTGAAATCTCGCACACAAATTTCTATTTTTGTGAGATTTTTATGGCAACCGTACAAACGAAAGAAAGGTCGAAATTCGGGAGTCTCCCGGACAATGCGGGAGACTTGGCAGGTATGTGACGATGATAACACCAATACATATTGTTCTCTCCTGGTTACATGCCAGAACGCTGTTTTTGTGGCCTCAGCCAATAGCTACGACAATGCGCCATAGCCAATCGCGGAGGCCTAGCTATTTTACAAATTTCAATTTTTTTATCAGAAATGAAATGTTTTTCGTAAAGTTTCAGGCAAGGTTGGTAAAATAATAAGTGCAGTCGAAACTCGCACATTTTACGGGAAAATCGGAATAGTTGGCAGGTATGTTTACTGCAAGCCTACCATAATTTTATTGAGAAAATGAGCTAAATGGCAACATGAAGTTAGTTCCACTATCGGCAAGACATGGCACTCTTGTGGCCTCATTGGCCCCATTTATGAGTAAATTATGATAGGAGAAACGGTGACAAGCAGGTTAAATATTTCCATGTAAAAAAGCAACAAAGCTTGGTCCATTTCCCGTGGTTTTACAATTCGCGTGGCACCACCATAAAGACTGCACGTAACGAAACCCTTACACGTGGTGAACTGCGGTGTCATTCATTTTTAATGAAGGACTCTTATTGCCATTTTCGCCACTCGTAATCCCCGATACTGCTTACGATTTTGTTTTTCAGACACCCACTGCCTTGTTTAGTGATCTGCTCAAGTTATCATACTGGCAGCCATTAGAACAGATAAAGGCACAGCTCACGGGAAACTCGAGTGCCTCTGGGTTCTCCTGGTCTGTGTGCATCTTGACCAATGTAAGAGCACTGGCCGTCAAGCAAAGCCGATGGGGTCCAGTGATGTTGCGACTGCTACCCAAACCCTTCGTCTTCACATTCACCTGCCAGACATGCTCTGCACAAAGAGGAAGAGAAAATAGGTACTCATAAGTAAATGCACCACAAGATAAGAAAGAATTTGCCCCTGCCCCTTGTCAAAACAATTCGGATAACGGGTCCAGAAAGCCCCCATAGTAGTAATTAGGTTGTGCTGCTGCAGTTGCCCACAAGTCCGCGTGAGATTGTCAGAATTTTTTATAAGTTGCCATAATGATGGAGTTACACACCTTCCACAACTAAAACGTGGGCGTCCCTCGTTTCATTCCTTCCATTGCTACACACCGATAAATTAGCGAGTCTCTCCATTTGGCTGAGTGTTTCTGTAGGTACCCTGCTTAATCTCTTCATAAAATGACAAGGAGGATAAGCAGGGAGTGCAGGGCTAGAGATAAGTACCGGATTTTTTTTATTGTGCCATGCCTGTGGCACGCAGCGCTGCTGCGTTTCACATTGTCGGTCATGATGGCACTCTGAACTCAATGCATGCATTTACTTCCGGCAGTTAAATCTGGGCGACTTCGCAGAAATGCGATTGGCGCAACTCACCGAAGAGGGGCTTGGGCCTGGCATCACCATCAACGTCGCTTGAACCGTGCTGTAATCTGAGCAGTTCCGTGAGCCACGCATCCAGCTCGGTTTCGTTTTCAGCCACCAGTGCGTAGGAGTCGTCCCTTGTGTACAGAGCCAAAACGTGCCGCTGCTTGGCGTCGGCCCGGCGGTTTATGTTGAAGCAGGACCGAAGCGCTATCGTGCGCTTGGGCAGCGCACCAGCCTTCCACTTTTTCTCACTGTCGTAGCACTCGAGACGGGCGGGTCCCGCCTCAGACTCCTTGCGCATGACAAAAAACTTCTTTTTCATTGTCTGTATAGAGAATCAAGAGAAATACCAGAATACATTCAGAAAGGTAACCACAGTAAAAATGCCAATCAGAATGGTAATGCCACGAGCATGTGAATGAAAATAGCATATATAACTGTATGAGCAATTATCCTACTTGAAAGATGTAGCACAAGGTTAAAAACACAGAAGAAAGAACAGGAAGTGCTCCCATACTTTGTTTCATGCATGTACTGACACTGCTACCCGCTCTGTTTCCTACATACCGTGGAAGCTGCACAGTTTCGGTGAATAAAACTTTCAACAAACAAAACACAATGAAACGTTGCACATTTTGAGGCCCTAAGTGTTTGTGGATGCCAAAATGATAATATTCCAACTAAGAAAGAATGAAAGGCAATATAATCAGAAAACGACACATGAACAGCTGTATGACCGAGTTTTCTTTATTCTTTAACGTGAAACTGAGCCCTCGCTTACTACTTAGCCTAGAGAAAGAACAATTTCGTATGCATTTTGGCAAAAAAATGTGAATAATAGGACAGCGGAAAAACACAGGACAAGGCACTGTCCTGTGTGTTCTTGCAGTGTTCTATTGCTCATGGTATGTCACCTTGATGTATGCAAACAGAGAACACTGAACTATTTTTTGTGTGAACTGCAACTACTGCAAGTAACATTACTAGCGTCTATAGCACTGTGCACTATGTGTGAAAATGGAGCACAAACAACTATAAAACTTGAAATGGCCACCAATAAATTTTGTACGTGCTTTAGCAGCACAGTATTTTCTACATGAAACCACAAACACCTGGTGTTTGTGTTTTATGGTTGCTTTGAGTCCAAGTTTTCCCACCGTGGAGCTTGAATCGCAGTGCAAGACTGAATCGCAAGACTGAATCGCAGTGCCAACACAAATGTTTAGTGAACCAAATACCGTTTCAGTTGCTGGTGTGAATTTTTCAGATGCACTGTGTACAGGCATTGCCATGCAATCTTCAGGCCCTTTCAATGAAAATGCTAAAAATACACAATATGTCAATACCATCTGCCAAGAAATAAAAGGGAAGTTTGGAATTATACTCTATGCAATTATAGTAATCGATAACTGTACAAACTGTAACCAGCAAGTTAAAACATGTTCAGATAGATGGAGCTAACCACGTCTGCCAAGCACTGCCGATCACCTTGTACGTGCCTGTCAGAATTGCATGTTTCATGCTGAACAGGTACCAGTGAATAACAATGAATACTCAAATAACAAGCAAATAACAAATAAGATGAGAACAGTAAAAATAAAAACATTTCTGCATACCAACACACAATAGTCAAAACACCTTTTGACAAAGCAGGACGTTTTCACTTTTGAGTAGTTCCTCAATAGAGCTAAATAAACTCCTTTCATGACAAATCCCATATTGCCTAACTAGAAGCGAACCAGACAAAAAAGATACAGTGAAGCAATAATTGAGGACACTGGTTCAAGGTGATAAAAAAGCCAAAACGAACAGGGATAGAAAAAAAGAAAAGCAGCACAAAGGCAGGACAATAGGAGACAATCACACAACACGAGCGCTTGTGTTGTTCTATTCTCTTCTTGTGTGCCATTTTGCGCATTTTTTTGTCTTTCTTTAAAATAACATGAAGCAATAAAACCTGGATGAAATAGTATTATTACGATCCAGCTACCCCTTCAGACCTTACACACAAACAAGATTCAGTCTATATATAGATGCAACAGCTAAAGAAAACTTGCAGAAAACTTGCGGAAGTTTCTTTGTTCCCTCAACAACTATATAACAATAGACTTAAATGTACTACTGTGACACTGCAGGTAAGTAGCTGAGAACCTGATCACAAGACAAAGGTGCGACCCACCGCATAGCCAGATATGCCGTACCTAAATAAACCAATGGGACAAGACATTGAGAAGTCGGAGAGTGCGGAAGTATACTTTACAACAGACACTTCTTTTTACTTTTCATGCAAAATAAAATGCAGCCTTCTGAACAAACAAGTCTTACAGGAAAGTAGGCAGAGTCAATGAGAGTCTGGCTCTTCTAAGGAGAGCTAAAGTGGTCATTACAATTTTCGTTCAGTTTCCCACACTACCGGCGACACAGATTTTGCTGTAGGCACTTTCACGAAGACACAGATTTTACTGTAGGCACATTCACGTGAATTTGTCACCTATATGCATTTTTTTGGTGCCTGCCGGTTCTTGTTTACTATTGCTTGGGACCCACTGATGTAACTCTACTAAATATGTAATATCGTCATCACACAGGCTAATCTAGTATCACTTCTGAGAGACCGCACGCACAACCAAGTATCACATTGGCGGCGTGCTGCTGCACGAGAAAGGGAAGTGTAGTTTAGAAATTATGGTAGTGACAGTGGGTGCTTTCAGGCAATGTTTCTGAATTAATAATGCGTTATAGCTATTAGCTGCCCTTGAAACAAACAAAGCACAAATGCGGTGCATGCAGCCATTGAACAGTGTGTGCTGGGCATGCCCCCGACAACCGTAATTGTAAACTGCTCGAGAATGACAATAGCAAAGTAGTACGTAGCAGTATGTAAATTTTAGAGCACTACAATCTTCCTAATAATGAAAACGAGAGTTAAAAAGAAATACTAAGAAAACTAAGCTTCATATAACTTACTCCTTCTTAAGCTACTGAGGCTTGGCGCTACGTCGCAGCAAGCTCATTTTGCAGAGTGTGTCACTAAACGTTACAGTGTGACACCCTTCAAGTGACACTTGCGGCTAAGTGCACTCCTTCGAGGCAAAGCTGGCACTCATGACAGGACTATTAGCGTGTAGGCCGTTCCGCAAGATAACCTATCGCACCAACAGCATGACCTCTCACCTTCAACTTCCTCAGGTATCCCGTCTTCTGGATGTCAGTGGCCTGCTCGGCCAGGGAGACCACCCCGCTTCCCCGCGACGTGTCCTTCATCTTCGTCGACATGGCTCCACTCAGTCTGGTCCCATATTCAACCACCTGCCACAGGAAATTCACCAAAGACACACTACACATCGGCTGCCGACTTCTTTCGACTTGCAACACTATTGGGAAGGAAGCTGTGCACTCGTTGCAGGTCTCTCTCGTCCTCCTTTGTCCGTAAATGGGCCAAGTGTTTTGTACTATACTAAACAGCAGCTACACAACTGCTTCTAGCATCACTTTTCGGAGATGACAGATTCACAGCTACTTCCTTTGCATCCTTGCAGGGGAAAAAAAATAATTACTAGCAACTACATGTTACGCCACCCGCTCCTGTGTGCGCAACCTCGGTGCACTTTGCACCAGCAACGAGGAGTGTTGGTCGTGCGGAACCGTATGATGTATCGACCGGCCAAATGACGCCGGCGTTGTGCACATTTCTATCTCTCACCCATATCGATACGACAAGCATGTTTGCGAGATAACGTTTGGGGAGGAGGGCGGCGAGCCTGATAAAAGCACTTATTCAGCGGAGGCGAGAACAATGGCACAGTCCAGAATTGCCGTTCCCAAAGCAATGATACGCAGGCAATAGTACGGTACACAAGAGCAAATATGTCAACTTTTAGATGTTTGTTACAAAAGCAGAAGAAACACAGAAGTATGGGTGGCTCATGCATTTCTTACGGAAGTTTTTACTTCATCGCAAGAAGAAATTAAACAGCAAGTAGAATCGACAAGTTCACCGGTACATCTTACCACAAGTCGTGCACATTTGACCTACATCAAGCACCCGGTCATGGTTGATGTGCAATCGCAAGTTAGCTGCCCCACATTTGCACAACAAAAGTAGACCACAGTCTATCCTAAGGGGTAACCACTCCTTTCCAAAATATTAATAGTATTTGTCACCTTAGTTCTGCATAATTGTATACTGGGCTATACTACTACATACATCAAGGCGGCCAGTAATGGAATTTTTTATTAAGCCGACAGCTCACTCTAGCGGCATCAGTGCATAGTATTGGAGCCTTCTTGAAAGTGGGAACAGTGTTGCACCTTGTACTGAATGTGACTGCGTGACCTCTAGGTGTGAACAAGGTGACAATGAACTTTACAATGCTAATCAGACAAGGGTTCCAAGTACTTAATGTTTTACACAACGCACATAATTAATTTAAAAAGGTTGGGAAGCCATTTTTTGAAGGCGAGCTTACTTGGCCATGCAAATCTCCTGTATACAGAGAGGGCTCCAAACAAATCCGGAGCGAAGTACAACAAATGCTTGTAAGATATTTTATTTCGATACTGAAGTCTATTTCCCCATGATGTACCAACCAACATAGACACAAGCTTGATGTCAGGCTAGTTTTAATTCTAGCGACTTCACACTGCAGTCTGGCTAGTTGTGATGACGACAGGTACCAAGACATCCAAGATGGCCACTTGTGCATCACTAAAACTTTCAAAATGACTGCTTGTGTGTCAACAAAGGAGCTATTATGCTCAGCTGCGCTGGAAACACCACAATATCTTGGGCAAGTACATGACGAGAAGCTCATGCAGTGCTGCGATGTCATGGTACAGTCCTTTAAATACGTGTAGTAATTGTTAACCTTAAGGCACGGGTGAGTTGGTTCACGCATATAGTAAAAAACACAACGGGAAAACGACGGGACAGAGGCAGAGGAGGCAGGACAAAGTGCTGGCTTACAACTAATCTGAAGAAAGCTATTAGAGGCCACCATGGCATTCACTGTGTGAATTATAGCTGCACATCTGAGTTTCATGATACAAAGGTCCTTGCCTGGCACAGAAAAAAAAAGGTGAAGTAATTGAAGCACATGAAATTGCATGGCTGAAAGATAAATGTGTTAGTAGGGCATATATAACCCTCTCTCAGAAAAAGATTTAAATTTTCATCTTTGAGATGAACACGCATGTTGGGAGACAGAGTGGCAATACGGTGATGCTAAAGTCAGGGCGGCATTTTCATGTTATGGTAGTCAGGTGTGTTTTACCTGCCACGGTATAAGTGTGTTCGCATTCTGTAAAAGAGATTAGTTGTTGTTCAGGCCAACGACACTAGCTGCCAGCGTGCAGTGAATAACTTTGGAGGCCACGAACCCCCATTTTCAATTTTGGCAGTCTACACTGGAGTTAATGTCCATACTAGGTAAAGGTACACAGCCATGGTTCTCCACATCAACGATGAGTAAATGATACCCTCGGATTGTAGCCAAAATATTGGCAGGACCACTTATTTGTGGTGAGAAGTCCTTCAAGCAAAATTGCAGTGCCAAATGTCCACTTAAAGTTTGCCATTTTGATTATCTTTGTCCGCAAATGTGTGAGTGGGTGTGTGCACGTTCTAAGGTTCTGTATGGTTCCTCAGAATCCTGCAATTTTTTTTTGTTCATGTTAGACGTCTAATTATTTGATTTGTCTCTGATTCGATGTAGATGTTTGTATCTTTTCTGTACTCATCACCCTCCTTACTTTTTCATAATTAGGAGTCTGCAAACATCTTGTCCCCACTTTACACCAAGCACAAGCAACACTTAATATCTGTTCACATTTGCAGCTAGCACCAGTCACAGGAACCCTGCCACGGTGGTCTAGTGGCTAAGGTACTCGGCTGCTGACCCGCAGGTCGCGGGATCAAATCTTGGCTGCGGCGGCTGCTTTTTCAATGGAGACGAAAATGCTGTAGGCACACGCGCTCAGATTTGGGTGCACGTTAAAAGAACCTCAGGCGGTCAAAATTTCCGAAGTCTTCACTCCTGTGTCCCTCATAATCATATGGTGGTTTTGGGACGTTAAACCCCACATATTAACCAATCAATCACCAGCCACAAGACCAACTTGGATGCAAAGCAGCCATTTACGACTTGTCGCAGGTTGCCGTCTTGGTGGAAAGCAACTGCTTTGGCTTAGTCAATCAATGCTCCATTTGTCAGTCACATGACTGCATTCTCAAACGTGTGTACCGATCTTGTGTGTGGCAACATAAGAATAGTTGGGGTGTAACATCCTAAAGCCGTGATATCATTACGAGGGACCCCACAGTGGAGGGCCTCAGAAATTTAGATTTACTTGTCACTGTTCTGGTGCACATAAGTTCAAGCACACGGGCCTCAAGCATTTTGGCCTCTGCAGCCACTATGGCCAGGAGTCGATCCGGCGGGTCACCAGTCGAGCACCGTCACCACTAGACCACTGTGGTGCGTCATGTACAGGAACAAGGCATTACATTGTTTTATTGGGCAATGGAAGTGCAAGCAGACGCCAATTTCGTGTGGTGAAAGGTGAGCAGCTCTGGCTGGTGCAAACATTCATCACCCAATCGCAAACAATTGTGGAACTGGTGCTAGTCGCAAATGCGAACGAGCCTTTGTGATATGCTATCCAGGGCCCTTCACCCACTGAATGCTACTGGTTTCGTTAAGACTACTGAATAACTGAGGTGAAAGAGAGGGGGCAGCCTTGCTACAAACCGAGTTGCCCGACAAACTAAAAAAAAAAAAAAAAAAAAAAAAATCAGCCAGAGATGTGTCACGGTGCCAACTTTATTCCCGACGATGTCGTGAAAACTGTAAGTGGTTTCGATAGTGGAGCCCAAGTAATATCAATGTTGCACATTCAGTATATTTTTTTTGGTATGCAAAAGGTATGCTCCATTAACTGGCATCACTGCATTTTGTCTTCATTTGCAATTTAGGGTGAATAACCTTTTGTGGCCCGCATTCCTTACTTCAAAATGAAGAATGCACTAATGGGACTCGAGAGAGATGAACCTTGTCAAGGAAATTAACTCTGCTTTTCATTATTGATGTGACTGCATTAGAAGCATATAGGATGACGACAAACAGTACAAAGGGTCAAAATTTTCCATCATTATTCCAGCAATAGTTTAGCAAAAAACAAATAACAATGTACTACAAACTGCAATGTGCCACTATTCAAAAGTAACTTAATGTAACTACAACGTAACTACAACTACACGTGCGGACACCTACAATTCCCGTCGAAATTGTGAAAATAAATTTGGCTCCTTTGTACAAGCTCGAAGAGTGGATACAATAAGAATAGCATTTTAGAAATTTGTTTTTACTTAGTAGAATTTTGTAAAGTGCACGTGAAAGATACATTATACTAGAAAGCATTGTTTGGGATGTTTGGAGGGGGAAAAAATAATGAAATAACCGCTCTGCACCTGGATACAGTCCAAGGTTGTGGTGCTTCATTTAAGGTATCATTCTCGTGCCTCTTTTTTAGTAACAACTCATACGTCTCCTATTATGATAACTGCATGAATAGTTCAAATTTCAAACTAACTGCTGTTAGCATCATTTAAAACAAAGGAGGAGTAACAAAACTTTACAGAAAATATGAAAACAACAAAATCGTATGCACTAAGCAGCTTTCGCTGAACAAGTTCCCATTATATAAACTGTACTGAATTTAACACCGCTTACAGTGGCCACAACAATGCTCATCTCTGAACTACTGATTTAGTTATCATAGGAACGCATTGTGAAGGCGGTCGGTATAGGCAAGGCACTAACCAAATCAAAAGGGTGGCGCCAGTTAAGAACGAGCCCACAGTTTAAACCCGCACGGAAGTCCCTGAATGGTTGAGGAAGCTGCGCTCACTCGAATCGATCCAAACGTTAACCAACCTAAGCTAAACCAACGCGGACTGTTGTAACTGCGCGGAAAGCCGCACAAAACGCAATCCAATTAGTGTCACACGAGCTAAAAAGCACGCGCCTCTAGGGAGATATTTTTACGACTAGGCGGTGCTCACTGCAGCAAAGGAAGTCAAAATGCCGCACGCTTTTTTTTTTAAAGTGCGTTTCCGTTCACTCGCCGCGGCAAACGCATCGTCACATTGTCTGACAGTTTCTCTTTTCTTTTTTTTGCTGTATCCTCGAAAGTAGTACACTGCAACAGAACAGCGAGGGCCCTGAGCGACAACACAGCGATAACGGCATGTTCCTGTAGCGTGACGTAGCCGGTCAAAAGACAAACAGAGAACGAGACATTGTAAACAAGTCGCCTGACCTTGAGTAAAAGAGCTGCAAAGCCGCTTCGTTGGCACTTTGCGGCCGGAAAGAAAATGTAAAACACCATACGAATGAGCAGAACGCTTAACAAACTCGTCACAAGCGATCCGGGTAGACAACGGGGTCAACAGAAAGGAAAATTACGGTCAGATTTCCGGGTCCGCGCCGGAACTAACAAGCGGCTAAAGAAAAAAAAAAAAATGCCATTCGCCATTCCATCCGTCTGTGTGTTGCGGCGGAAATAGTGCGTCGAGACAAGAGACACGTCGTGCAGGGCGCGTGCACGGAATGCGAGAAATGCAGAGCCCAAACGTGAAACCGAACACATGGGGAGGGGAAAACAAAAGATGAAAACTTGATAGTACTGGTCGCTCCGTGTTGGTACAAACATTTTTCTACTTTTTTTCCTCTCTTCTCTCGCTCTCTTTCCTCGCGCTACCGACGGCGGCGATTTCCTCCGCTACCCCGCCTTCCCCCTACGATCAAGATGTGCCATGTTGAATCGGCAACGCCACGACACTCGCCGACTAGTCCACATTTTCTCGCTCACCGGCAAACGGAGCTGTCGCGCTAAACAACTGAGCGACACGCTTGTAACACCGCGGCCGCTTCCTAATCGGACCCTTCGGCAGCAATGGCGCTGTCACGTGGTAAAATGCGCTCGCCTCGGTCTAGTAGATCGTTAAGTCCACGCATCGCAAGGACGGACGGAACTGTCGGGTCAACTGACAACGCACGCGAATCGGACCAGCCCGTACCGTGAAGCGATGCGTACGCCATTAAAATCGCCGCGAGACTCGCATCATCACCCCCACCTCCCCTCGTTTCGGAGTTAGCCTTCCGCAGCAAGGGGAGACCCGTGTCAGATAGCGGGCATCGCGCAAATCGAGAAACGTCGCTCACCTAGAGCATGTCTCCTCGTGAGCCAGGTTTGTAGGTCCGCTGATCCCTCGGCTGGACACGTCAACGTCGCGTTGTAAAGATCCAGTCCACCCTCCTATTTTTTTTCCGGGGAAATCACGGCTGTGGGGCAGCACGACCGCCGCTCGCTTCCACGTCTGTTTACGTTTTTCTTCTGCTGACGCTCACTACAGGGCGCTGGTGGCGGCGGCGGCGGCGCGTTTCGCCTTGTACTCCGCCCTCGCCTACGCAACTCAAATCGAAAACAACGACGCGCTTTTCCGGAAGGACGCGGCGGCTCCTCCCGGAACAGAGCTTTCGGATCCTGAAACCGCGCTTGGGCAATTTAAAGAGGTGCTCGTTTACTCGTGCGTCTCTGTGCATCGCAGTCCATCCAAAACATTACTCGCCAATGAGCTCAACGATACAGCTAGCACCTAATTCTTCCCGGATTTGCGTAGCAGTACCGGCACAATTTTCTGCTTGTTCCGTCTTCAGCATAACGGTTAGGCTCGCTGTAAGACTGTCTACGACGTCTCGCATAATCAGTGCATTTTTTTTTTACACGAAATTGCTGCAAAGGGAAGGAGCACCGCGCCTCACGGTTAACCTTTCCCGGTAGCTCGCGCCGCGGGCTGTGCTCCAGTTTCATTACGACCTTGACCCGGCGGCTTCGGCCGCCCGGAAATGCAGTGACGCTAAAAGGTAGCGATTTATTTCGGGAATGGGGACGGTGGCACGGGAACCTCCCACTTGTGGCCCACATCTTGCTGGTATTGTATCAAAGAGAATTCTGATGCGGGCTTACGATTGGGACCCAGCATCTAAACCGCTATCGGCGCCCTTCCGCGTCTTGCGCAAGTAAGCCAATCGTGATCGAATTCACACCGTGCCTCACTCTTGGCACGCTACCAAATTACGGAAAAACTGTAGCTGATAGGAAACCATACCCAGTCATTAGTATTATACTTTTCCTATGTTGGTTATCAATGCAACAATTTTTTCACCTATATGTAGTTAACAGGCCAATGGTAGACAAGGCAGCATACATATTGATTGATTGATTTGTGGGGTTTAACGTCCCAAAACCACCATTTGATTATGAGAGACGCCGTAGTGGAGGGCTCGGGAAATTTCGACCACCTGGGGTTCTTTAACGTGCACCCAAATCTGAGTACACGGGCCTACAACATTTCCGCCTCCATCGGAAATGGAGGCGGAAATCCCAGCCGCCGCAGCCGGGATTCGAACCCGCGACCTGCGGGTCAGCAGCCGAGTGCCTTAGCCACTAGACCACCACGGCGGGGCAGGCAGCATACATATTGAAGTCATGCACATGCAGGTCATGCACATGCAGTTTAGAAAGAGACTGCCACATCCTCACTAACTCGCTAAGAAAGATAATTTTATTTGTAACGGCTTGTACATAAACAAGACTAGGGACCGGGGGCGGTGCTCAATCTTTGTGTTGCGATCGTTCGCGGAGCATTCTTGCAACAAAGTGGTCGTTCACAAGGTCTTTCATGTTCAGCGTCGATTTGTTTCCGCAACCCAAATACGGGCACCTACGAGGACAAGAAAATAGATCAGCTCTGCAATTTGCACAACATACAGCATTGAATCCACCGAAACAAACGAAACGCAAATTAGGTGACAAGGATGACTGTGCAATAACATGAAAACAGTAGCACATTTTTTTGTTTAGTAATTTTCATCTACGCGAAAGAAACACAACAGATGACATTGATACAAAGGGTAGAGTGTTCAGAAAACAGACTGGATGTGTCCTCTGATTCATGCCAACAACTATGCTTCTACATTACGAATTTGAAAAACATTGTTGGCCATTGATTCACAAGGAAATAAACAACAGTGAAAAGGTGTTGAAGAGCCCTTGCCCTCACAAACTCCTTCACAAAACATCCATTCTGCTTTCATAGATTGTTCGGCCGGCTCTCTCCACCAAGTGCCTATAGCTGCCTTTTGCCATTTACATGATGCCACGGTGCGTGCACCCTTCCCTGAGCAGGATGAAATGCCCCTTGATCTTGGAGGCAATAGGAGCTGTCCTCGCGAGGGCAGCACTGGAAAATGAAAAAGGCGAATTGACCCCTCCTCCAAGCCATTGAGAGGGGCACTAAAGAGAAACAATTTGAATCAGTTTAGATTAACAAATTATACTTTGATAACTCTAATGTCATTAATTTTGCCATCATATGTTTATTAATAGAGAAAAAAATGAAGTTCAAAACTTCGTTTTGAAATTTCATGTTAACATCTCTGCGTATGACATCAGGGCTCACATACAATTTTGGTGCCGTTGGTTCAATTTATTTCCTCGAACTTGGTATGTCTGGTTATGGCCTCTTCAGAGGACAATCTAGAAGATTTTTACCGATTTGTAACTATGTAGCTCTTAGCAGGCATCGTTAAAATAGATGAAGTCACGGTGAATGGAAGTCACCACCACAATTTTCTTTTTTGTGGGTTGTCCCGCTTACCAAGTGTCTTTTGATCGCAAGCGCAATGTTTTTGGTACCGTGAAAGAAAAATTTACTAGTACGAGAAAAATCGTTTGGCTGTTTAGTGTGCCTTCAGTCTGCAAGCTTTCATATTTATTCACCTCCCGCCCAAACCTGAGACACAACTAGATTTTTTTTCTTCTATGCCGTGGTTGTGGCCCACTGCACATATACTAGCAATAAAAATTGAATTTGCTGACGTCCATATCGTGTTTCTATGTCGGAACAAGCAAGACCTGCCTGCAAAGAACATTGTAGTGTCTTTCTCTAGTCCCTGAGCTTTTGCCACTGTACTTGTCAAAAAGAATGGTGGAGCATGGCACTTTCGCACAGATTATATTCACCTAAACAAATTACACAAAAAAAGACTTTTACCCTTTGCCCGTATCTGTGGTGCTTGACACTACGTAGCAAGTGGTAGCTATTTCCCTCCTTTCCTTCCATTAACCTCTGGTGTGGCTAATGGCAGATCGCCATCGTTGAAGCAGAACAAGGAAAATCCGTATCTGTTGCCCCTGGTGGTCTTTATCAATTCAAAGTAATGCCTCTTGGTCTATGTAACATGCTTGCCGCCTTCGGCCAAACGATAGACTCTTCGTAGTGAGGGTTCAAGTGGTCCACATGTTTTCATTATCTGAATCAAGTCATTGTTACTTCACCTGCATTCGACAAACATGTCTCGCAGGGCCAGTCTCCAGTTGAACTCCACAATATACGGCCTTAGTTGTCACCTAATCACCATCCCCTGATCTGTACAAAATTCATGCTGTGTTTCCTCTCCCAAAGTCTGCAAATTAAGCTTGTAGTTTTGAAGGACGGTGCTTATACGTCCAGTCCTTCATAGAAGACTTTGCGACTGTTTGTTGCACTGCGCCTAACCAACTTCCTTGAAGAGAGATGCGCAGTTTTTTCGGGGTCCTGATCATGCTGCATCTTTATCTCAACTCATGACTCTCTTCACCCCTATGTCAATCCTGCCCCACTTTGCTTCAACAGAAATTGAAACTTATGCCAGTGGTCACAGTATAGGAGCAACACTAGTACAACGCCAGCATGGACATGATCAAGTGATCACCTACACCAGTCGATTCCTGCCACTCGTTGAGCACGATTATTAAATCACAGAGTGTGGGCTGTTGCAAAGCTTCGTCCATACTCACACGGACATTCCATCACTGATCATCACGCTGCTAGGTACTCCACCATTAGGACACCCTACCAGACGTCTTGCACACTCAAGAATATACGGTCTCCATCATATAGAGATAAGATGCTTGCACTAGGATGCAGATACCAGTTTGTCTCACCACCCTGACGGGATTTGCACAGGTTCTCAAAGCGAAAATTCAGGGATATTCCAGGACTCTCCCAGACTTGTCACAGGTTTTTCAAGGACTCAAAGCCGCATGCAATGTTGAAATTTCTTGATATAAAATTTTTTAAAAATGACTAATTTTAGTGTACTTATAATAACTATATGGACATCAAAATTAAAACAAAATAATCGAGTCTTGATAACTTGTCAAGAACACAATGAACGCGAGCAAAAGCGGTCAAAATTTCTTCTATATACAGGCTTGAAGGTCACCAAATATTGTCACGGGGTCGTGACGTGGCCGAAGACACGAGACTTTGCGTTGGAATTTAACTGTTTATTTGGGCGAACCTGTGCCCGGTAAACGGAAAGTCCGATTACAGTAGCAGTCTTGGACTGATAGCGGCGAACAGAGCGTCGGCCGTCGATCAACAACTGACAAGCGGCAAAGCGCGTCGGCATTTATACTCTTGCGGTCGAATGTTCTAGCGTTATCGCTGGCGGTGGCGTAGGTTCCAGAATAATCTGTACAGTTTGCAGAGTAGGCGTGACCTTATCGAAATGGTCTACTACAGTCCGGAAGCTTCTCGAAAACTGCATCCGCGGTTTGCGCTGTGAATTGTGTAGTGTTTTGGGACGATAACAAAACTTGCAAAATGGAACGTGGCTTTGCCCCCCTTTGAAAAAGGCATCGTCACGATGCTTTAATCAAAGATGAAGGTACAACAATTATGCAAGAAAGTACAATGAATAAATTACGATACAATAATAATAATAAAAAAACACTGTTTCAGTTTGTTAACGCACATGAAACGGCTTGAGGCGCGCGACATGGACAACTTCAGGTCGCGATCGGCGTCGTTGAGAGTTCGTGATGCCGTCGGGGACAACCTCGTAATCAAGTGGGCCGAGACGTCGAACCACCCTGTGCGATCCGAAGTACCGTCGCAGAAGCTTTTAACTTAGTCCACGTCAGCGTATCGGCGTCCACACCCAAACACGTTCACCGGGCTGGTATTCTACGAAGCGTCGTCAAAGATCATAACTGCGGCTGTCGGTCGTCTGTTGATTCTTGATATGGAGACGCGCGAGTTGTCGGGCTTCTTCGGCGCGTTGAAGGTACTCACTTACATCGAGGTTTTCTTCGTCGGTGACGTTGGGTAACATGGCATCGAGCGTCGTTGCCGGGCTCTTTCCGTAGACCAATTTGTATGGAGATATCTGCGTCGTCTCCTGCACCACCGTGTTGTATGCGAAGGTCACGTACGGAAGAATGGCGTCCCACGTCTTGTGTTCGACATCGACGTACATTGCCAGCATGTCGGCGATCGTCTTGTTAAGCCGCTTGGTGAGCCGTTGGTCTGTGAGTGGTACGCTGTCGTCCGGCGGTGGTTTGTCTGGCTGTGTGCCAAGATCGCTTGAGTTAAGTCGGCAGTAAATGCCGTCCTCTGTCGGTGATAAGGACCTCCGGGGCACCGTGACGTAGGACGATATTTTCGACGAAGAACTTAGCTACCTCAGATGCACTGCCTTCGGGAAGGGCTTTTGTCTCGGTGCAGCGGGTGAGGTAGTCGGTAGCTACCACGATCCACTAGTTTCCGAAAGCCGACGTCGGGAATTGCCCCAGTAGGTCCATACCAATCTGCTGGAAAAGTCGGCAAGGTGGTTCAATTGGCTGCAGAAGTCCCGCTGGCCTTGTCGGCGGTGCCTTGCGTCGCTGACAGTCCCGGCATGTTCTCACATAATGAGTGACGTCGGTGGTAAGACGTGGCCAGTAGTACCTTACTTGTATCCTCGCCAGCGTACGAGAAACACCGAGGTGCCCTGCCGTCGGATCATCGTGCAGGGCCTGCAGGAGTTCTGGTCGCAGAGCTGAAGGCACCACAAGGAGGTACTTAGCCCGAAGCGGTGAAAAGTTTTTCTCTTGTAGAAGACCGTTTCGCAGGAAGAACGATGCAAGTGCGCGCTTGAATACCTTCGGGACTTCGGCATTCCTGCCTTCGAGGTATTCTATCAGGGCCTTAAGTTCCGGGTCGGCCCGCTGTCGTTCAGCGAAGTCGTCGGTAGTAATCGTTCCCAAGAAGTAGTCGTCATCAAGTAGTCTCAGGCTACATCGTGCGAGGCGACCTGAAGGGTCCCTCAAGGTGGCTAGCCAACACAAGGCGTGGTGGTCGCTCACAACTTTGAAGGGCCTGCCGTAGAGGTACGGGCGAAATTTTGACGTAGCCTAGATGATGGCGAGGCACTCCTTTTCTGTTGTGGAATAATTGGCTTCTGCTTTGGATAGCGATCGGCTGGCGTAACTAATAACCCTTTCAAGTCCGTCAGCCCTCTGCACAAGAACGGCGCCAAGACCTACGCTGCTTACGTCAGTGTGTATTTCTATCTCGGCGAATTCGTTGAAATGGGCAAGTAACCGAGGCGTCTGGAGGCGATGTTTAAGCTCCTGGAAAGCGTGTTCCTGCGGCGTTTCCCACTTGAACTCCACGTCAGCCTTGGTAAGGTTAGTGAGAGGATCGGGGATGCGGGCGAAGTTTTTCACGAATCGCCTATAATAAGGCGCACAGGCCCATGAATCGGCGCACCGCCTTCTTGTCAGTGGGCGGCGGGAAGTCGGCGATGGCGGCTGTTTTCCGTGAATCGGGACGAACTCCAGACTTGCTAATAACGTGCTCCAGAAACAAGAGCTCCTCACACGCAAATCTGCACTTTTCTGGCTTCAGTGTGA